CTTTATTTGGATGTTTAAGAGTGGAAGCCAGTTCTCGGTAGGTTTTTCTCGTGTAAATTTTATATACTCTGACTGTCGGTTTAATAATTCAAAGCACTCATCCATCTGTTCTTGTGTGGAACAGACGATGAAGCAGTCGTCTATGTATCGACAGTAGAGTAAGGGTCGGTGATCGAGAACTGGAGCTTCCACCTTAGACATGAAAGCGATGCCAAGGCTTGGTGCTAAACGCTGTCACATGGCCAACCCTCTGATTTGTGCAAAATATTTTCCAAACCACCTAAAGATTGAGCAACTAAGACACTGTTTTAAGAGAGTCATTAGTTGCGCAATCGACAAGCCGTGCATTTTTATTTTCTTTTCATGCTCTACGAACAACTCGAGAATGGCTTGCATTGCGGAGTCATTGGACAAGTTGGTATAAAATGAACTAACATCGAATGACTCCATTATATGCGTGCTGTTTGGTTGCGCGCGCTTTAGGTGATCTTGAAATATTTTGGTATTAGGTAGATGGGTTGGAATGAATTTTAGCAGCTGGGTTAGGATAAGGTTTAGGAACCACGTTATTCTATCCGTTGGCCCGCCTATACAACTGGTGATAGGTCTAACTTTATATGATGATGGGTTCGTTGACGTAATATCATCAGTTGAAGTAAGCTTATGTGTTTTAATAAGCAAGTAATGGACAGGGTAAATCGGGTGTTCGTTCTTAAGTCGAGAAATAACTGAAGGTTCTAAACCCGCGGCCTTCGCCGTGCTGACCCATTCTTGATTTAATTTTTGGTATTGGTTTCTGTATTACTTTTCAGAGGATGTTCGATAGAGAGAAACATCACTGAGGTGCTCCTCCGTTATCTTAATAAGTTCGATCTTCATCAATACTTTAACCTTCTTTTCCACCGAATAATAAAAAGTATTCTAACATAAAATACGTCCAGGCTCTGAGGAAGGCGAAGTCGCCGAAACGTTAGCCATCGATTAATAACATCAAAAACAACGACAACGACAACGAAGACCTGTACCAACCTCGCGTCAGCTTAGGAAGATCTGTTTATAAGATCACATAAATAAATATAAATTTAGTAGTTTTTGAAGACTTCATCGATTTTATAGCAGTACTGCTCTGCGATGGTCATCGTTTAGAGTTCAAGAAATTGCGATAGCTGTTTCGATTTGTCACTAACAAAAATGTAATCATAAGCACATTTTTATGTAGACTACGCTTTAGGGAACATTTGCAAGCCTTATTTCTTTTCACACTGCACTGGACATCGATCGTTGTGGTATAGCGTTCGCTTTTCTTCGAACATCGCATTGCGATCGAGATCGTTTTCACTCTATAAAGTTAGTTCAAGACAAACTTCAAAAAATCGTAAAGGCTCATATTTTCAGCGAGGACGAGACTTCAAAGGCCATTTATGTATTGAAGTTTACGATGCTCGTATCTCCGAATCGTCCAGCTATGGTTGGAAAGCGAGAATGATGAATGACTTTGCTTCTGAGCTGAGCAGGTATAACGAGCCGCTTTGGTAGCCTCCAAGAGCATCGAGGATTTACTGAGGAGAAAAAAAGCACCCCTGACTCCGTGCGCACCATTTCAACTCCACGATTCTTTCTGCTTTAAGGTATGCGCCAGAAATCAGGTCGCTACATAAGCAGAATGGCAGATCACACAGTGTTACAGAAAACGTAATCGAAAGAATGATGCCAGGAGTATCTCTTATCGCGCAAATGAGGGAAGGAATTAGAAGCTTTGATCTACACCAACTATCAAAATTCGAAGTCGCCGTTATACACACCAAAATGAGCAAAACTCGGAACCTCTTGTAGGGTTCGAACCCATGGCCACCTTTACCGGGCGCACAGGTGCTATCCGCCATATCACAAAAGTGCATAGCTGTTATGTCGAAGTTATGGAAACAGAAAAAGTGCAGTGGTGGAACCGAACAATACAACGATAATCGCAAGAAACCAGTGCGTCTTGCCCTGCGAAAGGCTTAACAGAATGCCGACACTGGACAAGGCAGGTAATGAACTTGAGTCACGTACAAGAGCACCTGACGAAGAAAACCGTGGTTTCGATGTTCATCAGAGGTTTTGTCCTTTGTTCATAAATCAGCATTTTTGTGATTGTACTTTACATCACACATTGGCGTGAAAAAGATTAAGCATGAAATAAAGGATAAACATTTCTGAAGATACGTTGGGTCGGAAACGTAGTACGTCTGAACGAAACCGATGTACAGGAGTCGTTAACAATTTCATTCTTCGGGTGTCGAACGCACAGCATGAAGATCACTGACCCGTTGGTCAGAGTTCTTCACGAAAACCGTTGACGGAAGACATGATGCTGGACGAGTTCTTAGAGCAAGCAGAATTCACTGAGTTGTATTACACTTGCACCCCACAGGGAGAATCGGAAGATTTACAGGCGCCCTCAAGTGACTCGACGCTTACGAAGACTGCAGGTGATATTGTTTTATGGAAGACAGGTGATATTTATATTTATACACAAACATTTACATGTATATATGGGGAAGTAGCTGGCTAGTTAGTGATTCAGTGCATCAGTAGCAAGGTGCTAGTTCGAACTCTTCCTGAAGGTCTTCTCCAGTCAGCGTGGGAACACTTTATCTCGGCTATCTCCAAAACTGCACAACGAATCGACTGGACAAGCACTCTGCGACAAGTTGAGGAATTCCTCAAGCAGCAGCTGAAGCAACACTCGAAATGTTGAAAGACTTTCTGGACGATGAATGTGAGTAGAACGAATCGAATGCATGATGTTTTGTGCTCGCCGTAGTAGATGTGTTGGCGGGACGTGAAGAAGACACATATATATATATATATATAAATACGTGTATATGTTGATTTACAGTGAATTACTGTAAGGTGAAGGCAATGGCTGCTACTTGATGTTGAATTGCGATGTGCCTTACAATTAAGAGCTGTTGCTTTGACGATATCATTCGAGCTGAGGAGTTCGAAATTTGCACACTTAAGACCATCGAGGAGTAAATCTAAACTGAATATACCCAATGAGTCGGTGTTCCATGAAAGCACTAAAAGAAGTTCAATTTTCGGTATTTACTTCTGAATTCCGTTTCAGATGATGGGTGATACAGTGAAGCATCTTCAAGATGCTTTTTCGTTATTTCAACATCCAAATGATAAGGAATTACTGTAAACTCTCCACCCTTATCATTAACGGAGGGTCTTATGATTTTCAATATTATCAACTCTCGTACCTCGCGCATGCCACGTTTTTACACTTCAGTGAAGTTAGAGCTGTATCTTTTCGCGCGATAGTGATTAAGGATATTGAAAACTTCGTTCGTAAATATCCCAATGTTGATATTGACTTCATTGTTAGGGTCTTGTTGTCTAAAGAACGGTTGAGGAAATGGTGGTGATGGTAATGCCTCTACTTCCTGTTGTTACTAAAAGAAGTATTGTCATGCTAAAAATGTGGTGTAATATTCTTCATTTCTATCGAATAAGCCAAAACTCGCCGAGCACGTTTGGCCCGAGACGGAGCCAGTTGAAACTTCCCTCATGCCTGTCCTGGTTTAGTTGAAACAAGTGGTGATTATAGTATTTATTAGTCCATTGATAAAAGATACAGCGATGTGTGCATCACATTGCTACCTTTTTTATAGTGCTTCCGTGCGAATAATGTCTCTCCGAATAATCTAACGCCTATCTAGTTTTGGCATCTATAACGCATTCACTTTGACGCTGGTCGCTGGAAGCGCAGTGGTTGATTTGTCTAGCAAAGGCTTTCTCTAATCCAGGTAGGATAGCGGATGCATATGTTGAAGATGTGTGAATGGTCTAGCAGAGCTGTTCAAGAATCCCAGGTGAAATCAACTTAGGGAGATTTTAAAGGCATTTATGAGGAAAACGAAGCCCTAGAGATTGCCAAAACACACGAACAATTCCATTAACCTTTGTTGATACAAAATAACGAACCCACAGGAGGAAGTGATAGGATCGGCGCAATATATGTGAAGATGGGTGATATAAATAAATAACTAAATAAATAAGTCTAGGCTTTTAGCGATCAGGTCGTATGTTAAGGTCTAGAGGTACTTTGAGCAAAACTGCTATGCACAAAGTTCTGCGCTAACTGGGTTTTGCCTGGATTGTCTGTTGCTGGATATACGTGAGTAGTAGATGTACATGAGTAGACAGTACTTGTTAGCTGGATAGGATGCGCACCTCGTGGAGCCGTTCCGGCTTTTAAATGTTTCCCTGCAGAACGAGTGCTACTGGAGGAATGTTCGCCTGATGGAAATTCGTGGGCGCAACTCCATCTTAGTAAGAGCAAAAGTAGTATAAAAGTTCGTTTTCTCGTGTTAAATTCCATATATTGTTGAAAATTCATAGCGCTCTCAAGTTCACTGAGCACGGCTGACACGGAGTTTTTTTTTGAAGCTAAGGATAGGCGTTTCTCAAAGTCTGTTTCTTCTGCTCCTTTCCAATCTTAATTTCGATCTTTGTGGTTAACTATTACAGCGGATCTATCCCGTGTATATTATGAACTACACTTTTGCAAACGTTTTTGAGATCTAAGAAGGTGCCTTATTTGAGAGAAAAAACTTTAATTCAGTGTTGCACTTACTAGTTGTTCATTAATTGTTACTAAAAAGTTCTAAAGCTTTCGGCGGTGATCAATCCCTGAGGGATGCACTATGCATTCGACTTCATTAAGCATCGTTTGGAGGTGACTGAAAACATATCTGGCCTTTACAATGACTCACGGTGGCCTACTAATGTATCGAGCCGGTGCTGTTATCCTCCTAGAGCAACCTGGTACCAATTTGCCGACTCCGGAGGGATGTAAGGCTTGGTGGGCCATGGGCGCCGGGATGGATTCCATGTGTGTGTTGCAAGGCGCCTCCGAACACTGCGCCACACCCGCCCAAATTTTTAATGCTTTTATATTTCGATAGTTATCATTTATGATTATTTAGACCCGATCGGTTGAGTTTCAGGTCGCGTGCTGTCACCACGCATTTCATCATCAATCTTGCCTTAGCCGATCTGCTCACTGGAATATTCGCAATTCCTTTCAAATTTCAGGCTGCACTTTTTCAGGTGGGAAATTTCGAGTGGAACATATGTAAATGCCTCTCACTCTAATGTTTTTGATGCCTTGATTACTTTTTTCTGATGGTTTCTTGATAGAATTGACACATATCTTTTGATAGAAGCAATCAATCATAAGCACGCTGAGACATGGGCAAGCGTCGGAACCTCAAGTGCGCTTCGAACCTCCAATTATCCTTTTCGGAGGCTCGCTTGTTATCCATTATACCAAGTGGCTTTTTTCTCGGCCAGTTTTCTACTCTTGCTGTGTTATCACCAATCAAGCGTCAACTGAAATGATCAGGGGAGCACAAATTAGGACTTAATCCAGTCAAGCAGAATTAATCAGTCGATAGGTGCCCTGCAGTCAGGAAAGTACCACATCGTCTTATTTTATTCTTTAGTTAATGCTCATCAATTATTGCATTACTATATAGGAGTGTAGACTGCAGTAGCTTGATGTCTTGTAACACATGCATTTCACCTATTATTTCGATCGTGTCCCGGACCAATCAAGTCCGCCATCATTCCGGAGTCCGCAAACTGATACCAGATTTGTCTCTGAAAAACTGCTCATAATCTACAACTGCTTATAGTCGAGGCCTAAAAAGCTGTAGCGTGGCTGATCTAACGTTGTAGGGTGAATCCTGCAGGACTAACATTCACCTTGAAGCTACACATAAATCCGTATGACCCAATACCATCGAGCATGACAAATGTAGTACAATCAACCAAGTATTGCTTACTATGTGAAGATAAATCATGAGAAAAACCGCTGTAACTGAACAATGACCGCAATCACCTGTCACTTATGCCACCTTTCGTCCCGGTAATCGTCGGGTGACTCGAGCGGGCGCCAATAAATCTTTCATTTTTTCCTGTCGCGTGCAAGAGTAGCCCAGTGGGTTCTGCTCACTTTAGGGACTGGTCGAGCTTCATATCCTTCTTCTAGACTCTTCGTGAAGAAATCTGACCATCGGGTCAGTGGTCTTCCAGTAGTACGCTTGACATCCCGAGGAATCCAGTCACTAACGGCTCTTGTCCATCGGTTGTCATTCATACGCATTACGTGTCCCGCCCACTTTACCTTCGACCGTTTGGCGTAGAGAACGGCATCTTTGATTTTTGATCGTTGAGGGAGGCTGGAGCTTCGGATTGACCAGGTTTCTCACGCATATTTTAAAGCAGGAAGTATCGTCGAGTCGAAAAGGTGGGAACGGAGTCGGGTGTTCTTTGTTCTGTTCACTACATCCCTGATGCTCTCGAGAGCTCCCCAAGCCGAACGTTTCTTTCTGCTCAACTCTGGAGCTAAGTCGTTCAACATGTTGATTTCCTGACCTAAATAGACATAGCTGGAGCATTCAGAGATATTCATTCTGTTGAGCGTGAATGGAGCATACGAAACCAAGCCGTTCCTCATGAACATGGTTTTTGTGAGATTTAGTCGGAAACCAATCTTTCCACAGGCTTTATTAAAGTCGGGGCATACGTTCCGCTTGGCTAATGCTTGGTATTATACGGACGATGCCATCAACAAAGCGAAGATGGTGTAACTGCTGGTCATCGATTTTCACTCCCATATTATCCCATTCCAATGTCCGCATGATGTTCTGGAGGGTAGCGGTAAATAATTTCAGCGAGATGGTATCGCCTTCCCTGACTCCTCTTTTGACGTCAATGTTAATATCGTTGCAGAATGGTGATACTATGGTTGTGAAATTTTTGTACAGCTCACGAAGAATCTTTGTCTGCTGAGTAGGGACTCTTTCACTATCAAGGGCTCCCAAGACTGCTTCTATCTCAACTGAATCAAATGCCTTCTGTAAATCGATGAAAGTGAGACGGCGCGGTCTTCTGTACTCTGGCGATACTTCAATGCTTGCTCACATGGCTGCCCTTCGTCCAGTGTTTTGTCAATCCCGTTTAGAATGATTCGAGTGAAAAGTTTGTAAACGACAGGCAGCAAGCATATTGAGAGAAAGTTGCCGATATCGTGGAGGTCACCATTCTTTAACAATAGCGCGGTCTTGCACTCTTCCACTGAGTAGGGACCTTGCATTCAAATAGGTAACATATGAAGAACCGAGCATGTGTTTATGAGGACTGGAGAATGGTTTTCAGATGTTCAAATCTCATCTAGGATTTTGGAAGTGAAAACCTATGGTACGACATATATCTTCCTTTATTTCATACGAGGGTTTGAGGACATGGATGTCGGAGAGATCTGAGTAAATCGTGAATGATTTTCTCCATTACCTTTCTGGAAGGTATAACTGTTTCGTTTGGGCGTCAGAGTGGAATCATTTCGGTTTTATCACTGGTGAAGCTTCGGTAGGCTTTGCAAATGCTTTTCTCAGTCTTTGTAGCTTCGACCATAACTGCTACTCTTCTCTCTTTAAGATCTTCCTTCATCACCTCTTTACATTGTTTTTCAAGGACGGACGTGAGTAGGCGCCCTGTAGCTCATGTGATTTTTTGCTGGCCTGTTAGGTCTAGTGTTTCTGGCGACAGACGTCTCTTGGTGGCTTTCGAACTCTGGGTTTTCATAGCGCTAATTCGAAGATATTGAATGAGCCCGTCATATTCCTCGTCAATGTTATCTAGAACGGCGCCTTCCTAACAGCCGATTAATGAGTTTGATTAGTCCCAGTTTGTGGTGGTTTTGGAACTTCGTTTTTTGAATTGAGCTGCTTTTTCTGCCTTTCGCGATAAATGAAATCTTGCGAAGAGGAAACGATGGTCTGATCTTGCGTAGAATTTTGGGACGACAGCGACATCCGTTGGGCAAAACCTTCGATTTACTATGATGTGGTCTATTTCGTTATGGTACTCTCCATTGGGAGACCCCCACGTCCAGCGTTCAGGGTGGCTTCTGGAATTGTGAGCTACCACTAATGGCTTTGGTCGTCATGAGAAACTCAGACAGCTGCTCACCCTGTTCATCCCATTCTAATGCATGGGTTCCAATGTGACGTTCTTCTTGGTCCAATCTTGGCGTTAAAATCTCCAATGGCGACCTTGAAGAATGTGTGGTCTTCTCTGTAGAACTTCTCCAAGTCCATATAGAACGCTTCGATTTCTTCTTCGCCATAGTTTGATGTCGGCGCGTAAACAACAAAGATTGTCAAAGCCGGTGTTGATCCACATCTTTTCGATCGTAAACGTCCGATTCGGGTTGTAAGTTATTCGAATGAATCGATGTTCATGGAAAACTCGTGTTGACGGGAACGCCGACGCCGCCTACTCCTCTACTGTCGCATGTTTCGGAGAGCAGTTCTTCTCCGGTGCTATAGACAACGTTGAAGGGCTGGCGTCTTCTCGTCTCGGCCAAGCCGATGACTTCGTACCTTATCCTTCTTACGTGCGTGATCAAATCTTCTATCGAGGACTCTAGAAGCATCTCCGTACTCATCCTACCCAACGTTGCGAAATTGAGTGCTCTTTCGAGGCCAGGGGAATGAGGCCTGTTTTTTCACTGTATATTTTGGATCCCGACGTATATCTTGCTGGGCTCTGAACGTGGGGACTGGTATACTCACGGATAGCTTGCCAGGCTCTCCTAGAGTGAACATGAAGCTTATTTGTTGGAGGCGACTCCTAACCGCCTCCCATATACTTACCAATCACTTGATTGCAGGATTTTGGCCGAATTGACTCGTAGAATACAATCCGCATGAACGGGAACACACCCACACATGCATGCATGAATGTGCTTGGTTAATACAAAGAAAATATGTGCCAAATCTGCGCAGCAGAAAGAGGAAGCCCATCTCCTTGATCCTTCTCTGCTTCTCAGGGAATCAAAGGTCGCTTTTGCACAGTGATTAGCTACCGATCCTCTACCTGGGGACGCTCCACGTAGCCTCGCGAATAGCCGGCTCGAGATCCCTCATGTAAGGGAGATCCGTGGTAGGGGAATATAGAATATGTGGTCCAAGTATCTGTTGTGGGTCTGTCCAATCTTAATACGCATTTGGACGAGGTACGTCGTGTATGACCTTTTATTGTCCATCTATTTTGCCGAGTAGAGCTTTTCTGCTGCATTTTTCGAAATCGTTCGATTGTTAGCACAGCAGAGAAGTTATGGCGAGCAGCTTTCTTATTTTACAGAAAGAGTTTTTTTCGAATGAACCCATTGGTCGGTAATTTTACATAAAAAAAAATGCAGAGATAGACGCAACATAAGCCGCCACGAAATTCCAAATGCTCCGCTTTGAACATCGTTTTCGTTCGATAGACCATAGTACTACATAAAGAGGATAAAATAAAGCTTTCGGGGGTGATCAATCCCTGAGGGATGCACTATGCATTCGACTTCATTAAGCATCGTTAGAGGTGATTGAATGCATGTCAGGCCTTTACAATCACTCGTGGTGGTCCACCGATGTATCAAGCCAGTGCTGCTATCCTCCCAGACAAGCCTGGTACCATTTTGTAGACCCCGAAGAGGTGGAAGGCTTGGTGAGTCATGGGCGCGAGGATCGATTCCACGTGTGTGTCTCACGGCGCCTTCGACCACTGCGCCACACGCGCTCTTATAGTATCACATAGGTAGCACACGTACCATCCCTACCCTTGAAGAGATGGTGCACAGTTTTTTCTGTAGTTATGTTATGCTTCCAACCATTTAATTCCTTTTATTATCAACAAATTATCCTCTACTGTCGAAAAACTAGAAGTTTGTACCCGACATCCAACTAGGCGTCATTTTTTGCGCAAGCCACAGTAACCCAGGCGTCGGCACCAATGGTTTAGCAGACCCTTGCGTTGCTCTAAGAGTGTTTCTAGAACCTACAGTCTCTTTCACAATAAAATCTTACCAATAAATGTAAGCAGCGAATTAAATAAATTAAGTGAAGTCGCTTATGATTTAGAATGTTTTCACTCTTTACATTCTTATTCGAAAATATCCAATCATTATCAGGTACGGTTAATATATTTAGTACCTTCATGACTGTACAAACCAGAAAGGTTTATGTTTCTGAGTTAAATCTGCTCCTCCTTGGTCA